TGTCCACGCTCAACCTTGCCCATTCAAATTCAACGTTCTCGCGCTCTCGGGTACCACCTACGGCCTCGTGAAAATTTTGGCGGGTAAACTATGAACTTGCGAATCACGGAAAGATATTCATTCTTCAAGGTTTCGAATTCAGCCTTCATGCGCCGGTGCGTGAAATTTTTAACTGTTTTCCAATGTTTGAACTATTTTGCATAAACTAAAGTACAAAGCATTGAAAATCATTAATAGGCAATCGTTCGATGGGCGGAATCGCATAAAACGCATGATCGCTCCAGCTAGTCTGGTGCGCGTTGCTATTTATTTAATTTTAATTTTAATTAGTATATGTTTGTGAAAGATGTAAGGAACTACGAAAAGAAAATGTGAATAAAATAGGATTAAAATCTGAATAGGAATGGTTGCCTGGCATTTTTCATGTCAATTTAGTTGTGCTGAAAGCCTTTTCCGTTGAGCTTTATCCCTTCCCGTCCTTCATCTAACCTCAAAAAGTGAAAAGAGTTCGTCTTTGGGATTCGGCACGTTTGTTTTTTAAATAGGGATGTATTTTATTGTGTGCCTGCGTGTATTGCATCTCATTTTGTCTAATTCCCGAAATCGCTTTCCCACCAAAGAATTTATATGTTTCCTTTTTATCCACATTAATGATGATTATTGGGATGGTAAAATGCTAAGAGTTTCTACTTCCTCGCTTCTCTAGCTGCTGAGTTGAAAGTGGGTAACAAAATGCGAATGCACATGCACGTGGGCAATCTTTTGCCGATACGTCTCTTGGCATTTGCATAAATATTCAACCCAGGCTGCAACTAAATAGGCTTGCCGGTGCGGTCATGCATTTTTGCGCTGAGCTTGCGAATCTGTAACAGCAAAAATGGCTCCTGCGCCGTGCTTTAACACTTAGACTCATATTGGTTATGTTTTGGCCTCTTCCTGCATACAGGGGGAAAGGGTGTTGGCTGGGATGATGTTGCATTATGGGGTGCACCGACCTCCAGCCTGTATGATTATAAGTTTTTTTCCAGTGAATGCTCGTGCACTAGAAAAAATGCAAATTTGAAGGAAATCGGAAGGGGATTATAAAGCCCGCAAAATGCACTCGCCTTTGAGTTTGTGGTAGAATTGGGCATTTGCATGTCTGCATGCATAGAATTTCATCTCCAAGCTGAATTAAAATCAAACTTAAATATAGAATATCCTTGCAAAGTTTCAGCTTCGCAGTTTGCCAGGTAAGCGAAATAGCCACTTCATTACAAATATCTTTGAGGCGCCCCAAGTCGTAGCGCAAGTGCAAATCGAAACTCAGTTCAGGTGCATGATTCCCCATGTGAATGATAAATACTCTGACAAGATTTCACCTACTGTTTCCCGGACAGTTTTCGAGTTAGCGTAGTGCCAAGTGCGATTTTTGATGTGATCATACGCATGGCATGCACAGAGAATATCCGTGCAACATTTCAGCTTTCTATCTTGTCTGGCTCGCGAAATCGTTTCTCGCCAAAAAAATTTGCATATTTTTTTCGGATGTTCGTCCGCGAAAATGAGCAAAGATTTTAAAACGGGAGGGTTACATATGGGATGGGAATGTGGCCACAAAAGTTTCAGCTTCCTAGCTTTTCTGGTCGCTGAATTGAAAGTGGGTGACAAAATGTGGACACACACACACACGGACGGCTTCCTACCAATTCATCTCATCATGCATAAATATGCAGAAACACATGGAAATCATTGTCATTGGTGGTTTTATTGTCTGAGGTTGTTAATTAATTCGAGTGTTTCTGGCCAATGATGATATTAAGTTTCTGATTTCCTTTCAGGTCGACAACATATCATATGAGACGACGCCAAACGATCTGCGTCGTTTGTTTGATAAATATGGTGAAATTGGCGATATTCACATTCCGCGTGATCGCTACACCAGCCAGAGCAAAGGATTTGGCTTTGTGCGCTACTACAGTCGCCGTGATGCGCATTATGCGATGGAACGGATGGATGGCCGTTGGGTGGATGGCCGGGAGATTCGTGTAGCGATGGCGCGCTATGAGCGCCCGATTGATGAGCGAATGCGAAATGCTGGCTATCGGTCAGCACGACGACGGTAAATTTTTAGCTGTAGTTGTGCCAAAAAAAAAAAAAAAAAAAACGAGTATTTTCAGTTACTTGTTTTGAGAAAGTACGTGCTTTCACAGTTATCTTAACACTGTTAAAAAAATTGATAACGTTGATGTGATTTTGAGGCAGCCATGGTTTGTTGCTGCTGCAGCTGCTGCTCCTGCTCCTGCTGCCGCTGCTGCTGCTGCTGCTGCCGCCGTTGCTGCTGCTGTTGTTGCTGTTGTAAGCTGAATGCGTGAGACCGGTTGGCCGGCCGGGCAAACGGCAACATCTCCACACTCATTCGTCAGTGTTGCTGGCCTTCCTGCTCCTGAGAGAATGAGTCCGCTGTTGACTACAGAGCCGGCCGGTTAATTCATGCCGCTCCTGAGAAAAACTCTTTCCTAATTGATGTTCAGTGAGTTTTTCGTGCAGTGATAATTGTGTTGTGCTTCGGTCAGCTGAGACAATTCCCTTTCCAATCTGAGGGGTGCACAAGGTATGATTCGCTGAGATTTTCTTCACAAAATGCACCTCCACCTGCCATCCAATCTGAATTTCTTCAGGTGCTCGAAATTAATACATTTGTTTTCGAGTTTTTATACGTTTTTTGCAGCTGTGCAGTGCAAAAACGCATATTGACGAGGGGTTGTCTGTATGTGCGTCTGTCCCGATTTTTCATCTCAAGACCTATAAAAGCTGCAGGGCTGAAACTTCGGGAATTTAATCTACATGCACGTTCGGGCCCCAATCCCCAAAATGGGCGCCATTACCCGCGTATGGGCCCGACAAAGTTTTTTTCGGGGAAGTTTATATCTCGGGGATCTAGAAAGCTAGAAAGCTGAAATCTTAGGGTGATTCCCCCCGTCCAAGTGCGTATTAACGATCTCAAAACCAGTCCCCGGTTAAGCGTGGTACCTACGTACGGGCCCGTGAAGGCTTCTTTCGAGTAAGTTGCTTGGAATTTTGAAGGGATGTTTCCTGATAGTCCTGGCGGCCAGTCTGAAATTCTTTTGGTTAGAAGCATCTGCCGGAAAAACCAGTGCCGATAGCGACGAAAACTTGCAGGGAGCTATGCAAAAAAATGCATCTTCGCACGGGCAGCCCGTACTTTGGCCAATTATTTTTTGAAGTGAAGCTTGTAAGTATTACATCGTAGGCAGAGAGAAATCATAGTGAGAGCTTGAATAACGCTCGAAAGGATATTGCATTTTGTTGAGATTTGGATAATAATGGCGGCATTAAAAATCTTAAAGTCCACTTTATATAGGCATCATTAAAGTTTTCAGAATTGTTATTATTTTCACTGTAATGTGCACTGCACTTTTTGAAAATTTATTCTGAAACGAAAAAGCAGGTATCACGAGATAAATTGAGGTAGATTTTTTAAGTTGTGGGTTCTCAGGCTTCTCAAAAAAATCTGTTTAAGTTGTGAAATTCTAGACGTTTTTTCTGAAGAAGCTTCCGGAGCTCACCTCTTGGAAATCAACATTTCTTAAGCGAGAAAAAAGGGATGGCAGTAGCAGATTTGCTTTAGAGATTACCCATATTCTCACTCATTGCGGTGCTATGAAATGTTTGAGCGTTTAAACTGTGAAATAGTTCTTTGTGACTTGCGCTTGCAACAGTCGCATTACGTTGAGAAAAATGAGGCAACTGGAGGGAGGTGATGAGGTAAAATGAGGTAAAAATAAAAAGACAAGTTGTGAAAAGAGACGAATTTTAATTTACAAATGAGTGAAAAAGAAATATTATGAATCAAGTGCATGTGTGGTGCACACGTAGACGACTGTGGTAACAAAGGTAAAATAAAAGAGAGCCTTAAATGCTAAGACTTCTCGGACATGGTGATCCCATGTTAGTGATGTTATTGGAATGTTTCCACATACCTGGCACAATTCTCTACCAGTCCAGTGCTTACTTTCATTTCGCACTCATAGCCTGCTCGATGTATATGCGTAATTCTTTCGGAGACTTCCCGAGTGGTCGTTTACGTCCTCGCGAAAACCATTCATTTGTATGTAACGTTCATCGGTTTTGAGCTAGGTTCTTGCAGATTTTGATTTCTTGCGTAGCCGCATGCGATCCTGCAAGGCGTTCATCTGACAAAGGGCCTGATTAAACAATTAGGATGCTCCAAACATCCATTGCTTCATCGTTCTCTTCTTCAGAGCCAGTTCTTCTGCTTTCGCCATTGACCATTGCACCTGTACTTCGTTTCCTTTAGTATACTGGTATACAAAAGATGGGCACAATCCTTCCGCTCCTGTAGTTCCTGGACTACAAACATTATCAAAAGCAGCGTTTTAAAAGAAAAACTGAGATTGCTGGGTACATAGAGACCTGCCGGAATCTTCAACTAAACGGTATTTCTGAGGTTACGGTCCGTACTGCCTCTTTTTAACCAGCCTTTTGAACTGTATCAGCACCTTATGAAGCTAAAGTTGAGGTTACTATCGCGCCTGGATCGTTCCATCGTATTTTTTCCAAGGCTGTGGTTTCTTTGAAATTCACTGGTACAAATGCGGTTGGTTGGTTGCAGGCCATCAGCAAGTTTCACTGAACCTTTTTCCAGTCTCTTTCGGTTGCCGGTGTTGAACTTCCATGATCCCTGTCTATTTTCTGGCTAAGTTTTTTTCTTAACCATCAGAGGAGATCAAATTTTGTGTGGACTGGAAGATGGCCAGTTGTGTCCAGGTTTAGACTTAGAGATAGGATCGTTGTGTTGCAAAGAGAAAAAGCGGCGTCCAGTTAGCTGTATTGGTTTCGCACCTTCACCTTTTTTACGCTTTTTTATCAGTTTGACAGCAAAAATATACATCTTTGAAACTGCATGCATGTGTTTGTACGTATTTCCGTTGTGATTTTTCAACTCCTCGGCCAGATAAAGTTAGGAAGCTGAAATTTCGGGAACATAGTCCTTGGTAGTATTCCAGTATTCATTAGTAATGCTTCAGAATCCGTATATCTGTTTTTTAATTTCGATGCATCTGTAGAAGTGAACATTTTGTTAAAGCAGATTATAAATGCATACCAACTAAGATGTGAGGTCAAGAACTGAGATACGGAGAGTTTAACAAGACAGTTTCAAAGTTCTGCAATTAAGATTTGTTAGGCTAACAGATTTTTCAGTTTTATTTTTATTTCAAGAATGAGCTTCTTAATGTTTCCAAGCTGGGTGTATCTATAAAACTGCTTAGCAGCAAGACATTTATTGGACAAAACTACCAAAAAAAAGCGCGTGATCGAAGTATCGTTGCTGCTGAGTATCGTAGTTTATTTTAGTTTAATATTTACCGAAGGAAATAGTTGTGGAAGGGAAGAAAATATTGCTAGCCTGTTGCCTCATGTAGCGTTACTGAGATGTGATTCACTGAAAACGTTATTTAGGGAACACATTAAAAAGACACTGTGGCGTACGCTGAAATGTTTTAGAAAAGTTCAAAATGCATCTTCATTCACCCATCTTTTTTTCCCGAAGTGTTATGCTTTTTAGATTGATCATAACTGTATGGTTAGGGGGCACATGTAGCGCATACTTTTATAGTTTCTGCGAGAAATTTGAAAAGGTTGTTGTAAAAGGAAGAAGCAGAAATGAGAAATAAATGAAAACGGCCGACCCCCCTTCTCCTTATTCCAACCGTGTTATGCTCCCATGTGATATGCAAATGTGCCGTCTTTAGACCGGAATCCTTTTCATGATATAAAAATGGTTTGATTAGAAATTACAGCATTTCGATATTGTTATGTTTTCTTGAGTGGACGCAGCATGATGCTGCTGTCGGCTCGTTTCTGGGCGCGCTATCATCCCTCTCGGTTTCATTTTTTTGTTTTATCAAATAAAGTTTTTTTTTTTTATTCTGATGTAAAATTCCCCACTCACAGATAGGCTTGATTGGCTTGGATGTTATATAGCTGGATTTGATCAAGTGACTTTTTCTTAACTGACTTTTTTTGCTTACTCCTCAGAGTATACGAAAAGTTTCAACATTTTCCACGCAGGGCACGTTAGTTCCAGGCAACAAATGGTCTTTTATATTAGAGAACAGTGTGCTCGTAGAATTTATATTATATGTATAAAGCATGATCTATATTTTCAGTTCGAGATCACGCTCGCGCTCTTCGCATCGTCGACGTCGTACTCGAAGCCGTAGCTATTCGCGAGGCAGTCGACGATCCAGTGACCGAAGTGTTTCGCGAGGCCGATCACCACCGTCTCGCCGATCGGCTCGTTCGGCATCCCCGCCACAGAGAAATGGCTCCCAAAATGATGCACCCCCTCCCTATCGTGATGCGCCTGCACAACCGGTCGAGCACGGTGATGGCGATGTGGCCAGCGGATATGATGGAAAGAGTGGCTGATTCTTCTTGCGCCCAAAGGGTGGATAACACACACATACATTGTGACAGATTGCTTTTTTGTTTGTTCGGTTTTAGCATTTCAGAGTTTCCGTTTTCGTGCTCGCTGCGGCCCATGCAAACTCGGAAATGTCAATATTCTTCATGGGAAACAATTCCTGTACACAGTGGGAAGGCCTTATCGCAAGGGAAAATTTGAGCCTAATTCCTGTTTAGGTACCTGCTTCGTTATCAGTGCCTGCCGTATTCAACAGCAGCGTTTCTCTTCTCTTGTGGTTTTAACAGTTCAACTTTTCACAAATACCTCTTACCCGGCAAATCCACTGTCGAAATCACGATTTTGAAGCCTTATGGGGCCAGTTTAGATTTGTATTTGCTGCTATCATAGGTCAAACGAAAAAAGGCTGAAAAAAAAAAGGCTTTTGCTATTGTCACTCTTGAAACAAACATTCAGGCCTGCGAATGTTGTTTCTACTTTATGCTGATAGCGCATGTTTACTTTGTATAAGTGCAAGGAAAAAATTATGAATTGAAGTTTGATTGTTCAAGTCCCATCTTTTTTTTAATGTAAAACTAATTGTGACTTTCATTGCGAAATGAGAAATCGTGATTTATTGTTGATTTGATGCAGCAGAAAGCCGATTTGTGTTCCAAGAATACGAATAACTATCGCTTTGCAGATGTTTTTGTCTCAGTTGTATTTTTTTTTTCTGACGGTCTGCGAGAAATGTCCAGTGCCTCTTTTCTCCGTGGACTTGTGTGCGTTCAGATGGAAATAAATGCAAGGCGAGAGGCGAATCAAAGCATTCTCAATAACTTTTGGACCAGTTGTACTTCACAGTTTGGCTCTTGATAACCGATGAACAACTGCAAAGATGACATGCCTTTCCTGTGCGCTGCGCCAGTAGATCTTGATGCGGGCTTTTCGCGCTAAAATCATTAAATTTCCGTATCTAAGTCTCAGGCAATTTCAAGGAGCTGAATTTGAAACTTTTCAGTCGCACATGAGTAGGGAACATCCCCTGAAAATTCTAGCTTTCCTCGTATCGGAATTAGCAATTTCTCCGCCAAAATCCTGACATATCCGTGCCTGAGTGCCGCCCGGTTCTATGAGCTGATTTTCGTCGTACGTGAATAGAAAACATCCCCTAAAGTTTCAACTTTTCTCGTTCCCGAGTTATCAATTTTCTCGCCGAGACTTTCACTTATCTGTACATAAGTCCTAGACGATTCCAAGGAGCTGAGCTTGAAGTCTTTCGGTCGTACATAAGCATTGGATATCCCCCTAAAGTCTCTGCTTTCTAGCTTTTCTCGTTCTCGAATTAACAGTTTTCCCTCCAGAACTTCCACGTGCCCGCACGCGAGACGTGAGCGTGCATGACAGCTGATACCACGTTCTTGGGGCTGCACTTGGCCAAAGAAACACACTGACAAAATTTCAGCATCAAGTTTGCATGGTTGGCGAATGGAAATACCCGGACAGACGAACACACATAACACTAACATACACGCATGCACATATACACACACAGACGGAAAAAGCTGTTGTACATAAAAATTTACTTCTGTTCTGCGGATGTTAAAACAGTCCGTTCCCGTTGTGAGAGGTAAAGGACATCAGAAGTAGGTCTTAATGGCAAGTGCTAGCAGAAACTACTCATCGATAGTGCTGTTTGGTCTCTTTCAAGCAGAGGGATTGACGGCAGATTTTATTCATTGACAACTGCCAGTACCAATTTATCAACGAATCAAAAGAACAAATCATACAGGGACTTTCGTCCCTCCTCAGTCATTCAGCCGGATATAAAAGCACTGATTATCAGTTTGTCAGTCTACGGCCTAGCCTCGCATTATTTCGCAGTGAATTTACACGTGGTCATCAATCAGCTTAATATCCATTAATTATTTTTTTTGTTAAAATTCGCTTGGCTAGTCACAGCTTCCGAATTTCAGACTTCTTGTTTTTCGTTAATCGATTTCGACTAGGCTTAGCCCACGTGACTCTTTTTTATTCAATACAGTTGACTCTACTATTGGGCTCTCTATCTGTCTCTATGGGTGCAGTGTTCATACGGAATTTTATTCCATTCTGAGAAGTTCGAAATCGAAATCGCTAAGGGTGCATATTTTCATAAAAGTGAAATAAGCCGAAACCAAATAATCTCACAAAAAAAAAAAAAATTTCCTAAAAAATTTTAGAAGTGAGTGACCAGATGCCCGCAAGAGAGCAGTTCCCGAAAATACCAGAGCGCTATTTCAAATCACGTTAAGTAAAGAGACGAGAAACAGTCAGACAAATGTTGAAAAAAGCGAGAATTACTACTTCACCAAGAAATAGAATATCTGAAGTGACTTTGAGGAGACTGTACATTTGGGAATCATGGCTTGAATCCGGTCTCTTTTTTTTGGATGAGGGACATTCTAGATATCCAGTGTGATCCAAATTTTGGTGTATGCCGTGCAAAATAACTCGGGAACGAATGACACGTCGAAACAATTCAATTATCAACAGAAACCCTAAACTTATTATAACACTATTTACATTTCGGGCAAAATAATGGTCTTAACGCAAAGCACAATGGAATGAACGAGTACAGTACCACTAAAAATAACCAAAACAAATGGAAAAAGAAAGATTGAGCAGTTCCAGTTGAGAAAAAAAGCTTGTCTCTAGCCACAGAATGATGAAGTTTTATTAAAACCATATGCAAGTGGTTTGGCAGCAAACGTAGCATATTGCGAAAGGTACAAATCAACTCCTCACCAATTCTTTTCTGAAAAAAATTCATTTCTTATTTTCATCCGGGAACATAATTTGTTCGCAGCTGACAACTTTTTCAATTGCTTTAACCAGTGCTATTTCGCTTGGTGGTCAGCTTGTTGGCGATCCTAACGTTTTTTTCGTTTCCTGATGGGATTATCAACTCAACGGTTCTTTCTATAGAAGTACTTGGCAAGGCTTTAGACGTCCTGAGATGAGCCCGGTATTTGATAGGCATCAGCACTTCATTTCAAGTGTTAATCTTCACTTCTAGGCCATGATGAGGTATCTCCCCCGAATACAGGGGTTTTTTTTTCATGCATTTAGAAGATAGTTGTGATTATACGGAAAGGATGAGGAATATCAGATGCATAAAATGGATTACTTTTTAGCTGCTCCGCTAATCGCTAATAAGGCTAATGAATCCATGCGAATGCATAAAAGGAGAGTTCTGTCTTTCTGAATTCAATTAATCTCTGATACTAATAAGACTAAAATAATCTCATTCCTATCTTCTCTCCTGTAGTATTTTTTCTTTCTGAATTCCATTGCAGCTGCGCCACCTGCGCTTCCAGGGTCAACCTGGTTGCTGCAATCTGCTTACGCGGATAAAGCAAATTCAGAACCAAGTAAAAGGAAAAAGCTGGCAGCTGCAACGCCAAAGGCACCAAGAACCTATCAAAATATCCCAGTATATCCGCAAAGCGGACAATCCCCTTGTTCGTTCAAAACATAAGAACGACTTTTCCTTATCAAAAGACAAAAATGCATTTTGAAAAGTTACCCTAAAACAAGCGTATATGTCGGGCGTCCTGAATCACCGGCCCCTTCATTCTGTCGTACAATGACCACTGGTTCAGGCTGGATGATACCTCTCCGATCAATCAAACTG